TTATATCAACAATTAAGAATGGAATGTTTTATATAGACACATAGAATAGAATGATATGGAATATTATTATATTAACTCTTTCATAAACCAAACGTGTTTTGAGACTTTTTTGTTTTTGTTTTTGTATGAGGGGGTCTAATAACCAGAGGACAAGTCTCAAAACGCAGTCAACAAACACATGAAGACCAAAGAAACATGATTGATGGTGTTTTCTGACTGCTGTTCAATGCTCAAATAAAAATAAAAAAGACCATAAGGTATATGTGGAGAGCTAGGAAAGAAGTCGGAAAATGAGTAAAGGAAGGAAGAATGGTGACACCGGTAGAAAAAAATTTAGGTTGAGAAAGAGAAAAATAGAGTATTTTGATGGAGGTTATCCCTGGTAGTATGACCACACTATCTGGGACCGAAGGAAGGTTACATGTCGCATTATATGTCAAGTTATTTGGATCATTGTAAATTGAGACCCAAATAGCTCTATGGTCGGCACAAACGGTGCTAAAAATTCACCTAAGCTTAATATTCACGGAGTTAAAACCACTTATAAAACCTATACTATTTTATAACATGCTTGATAAAAATTTCTTGATTAATTTAAAACATTTTAATGTGTTTGGCTTCTAATTTAGTTTTGATATATATTTTTATTCGAATTCGATTGTTTTTAAAGATAAGTTTGTATAATTTGAGAACAATCTTTTGTTGAAGAATACAATAGTTTATAACACAATTTATGAAATGAAAGTATATACCAATTTATAACATGTTTTATAAAACTTTAGAAACTAATTTTAAAACACAATATTTTTATTTCTTTGATAATTACTTTATGAAAAATGTATACAATAATAATATTTTTGAAAACTGACAGCAAATAGTGGAATTTAAAAAAGCATTTTCACTTTTGAAATATTTTTGAAAATCCTCCAATTATCTTTAAAATCGATACAAAAATATAAATAAAATAGTGCAGAAGATTAAAATAATGCATGATACAGTACTTCTTATACTGACCTCCAGAAAAAGAAAAATTCCATTAAGTAGTATCCTAACTATGTTTGGGATGATGAAAAGACGTATAAGTTTTGGTTTAACTTCTCAAAGTAAATTTGGATTTCGACTCAAAGTAAACTGGGGTTAGTTTATACAAGTTAAGTTGCACATAAAAGAAATTGCGTAAAGTGTTGGATATACTTTGTAAAGAGCTGGAGGAATAAGTAAGAGAGTAATAATAATGTAAGACAGCTCGAAAGTCCAAGGGAGGCGGCGACTTAGACACATAGATGATAGAGTCGAATGAGATCCCCCTCGCCTCTTGACTTCTCAAAACAATGAGCACGTCAACGATGATTTTTCAACACGTTCTATCTAGTTTTGTATATAATAGGATCATTATAATGATCTTAGGCATTAATTATCGTCCATTTCTCTATGC